TTTAGCTGGAGATGTAGACCAATTTTTGATTTAGTAAACGTTCGAATTGGAAAAAAGCTATTTCAAGTAAAGTTGTATTCATTTGAGTTATTTTTACAATTCATTATGAATCGCCTCAATTGGGTATTGGGAGATAAAATTATGATAAAAATATAGAAGAAAGTGCAGTGTAGAAGGCACCACCAATTTGTGCAATATAGAGTAGCGGCGCTGCAGTGACTCCCATGGTGCGAAGCGCTGCTAGGATGTATCTAGAGCGTGTTTTGACCCGTTTTGAAACCCATAAAAACCTTATATTCGACACAAACATGGAGATGAGTATAAATACAAGTTATTGGCACTTTTGAAAGAGTTCCACACAATTTGAGAGAAAAAAAATACATAATCATCAAGATTAAAGAGCAAAAGACAGGATTTGAAGGATTTTGAGGTTGAAGAAGATTTTTGGTGCAAGATTCAATTCTTTTCTTGATCAAAATTTCAAGACCTGGTTATAAACTCTATACTTTTTATTTTTCTTTCATTATTATGAGTAGGCAAATTTCTAGTAAGGGTGGACAATGTAATCTATGTGTGACCCTTTATTTCTTTTATTTAAGATTCTAGTTCTTTAAATGCATATGCGTTGATTTTATTCATGAATTTAATACTTTGAATTATTTGGCAAATTATTCAATGATTTTGTGAATCTAAAGTACGAATCGAGAGTTGAGTGTTAGATTTAAACCATATAGTAAAATTCGATAATTTAATATAAGTCATTAGATGAATTTTTAGAACAAATACTTCGTTTAACTAAAATTGATTCACATAGAGATATGTAATTGAATTAGTTAAATAGATTAAATTTAATATAAGTCATTAGATTAATTTTTAGAACAAATACTTCGTTTAACTAATATTGATTCACATAGAGATATGTAATAGAATTAGTTAAATAGATTCAATGAGAACTCGAGATGGGTAAATTGAATACAATAAAAGAATTTGATCGAACACTACAATAGTAATGAATCTTGATTGGTGAATTAAAGATGCTTCAACAATAAAATTGTAAGTCCTAACATTCACATTCATACTTTTAAAACCCAAATTCGATAAATTATGTATTTTATATAATTTAGTTTATTAGAATAATTTACACATCAATCACAAACATTATTATTTGTTTTAGATCAAATTAAAGTTATTAACTAGAAAACAAATGTAAGTTCGAAGAGGAGAAAAATATTAGTTACCCGGTTTATTTGCAATCCGATTAACTACACCTCTTCGAATAAATTGGTCGGTCTAGACCGGCTTTTCGAAAACTATCAAAACGTGCTCAACAATGTGTGACGAAGAATTGTTACAAACAAGAAAACCATAATAATACTGTGTACTAAACAAACATCAAAATAAAATTTAGAAAGAGAATGAGTAGAGAGAGAGGTAAGGGTAAAGTGAAGAGGGCACACCAAAATTCCAAGCATGAATCATTGAAAGTAGGCTACTGTCACCATGTCAATACCCATTCCAGCAAGATTGAATATCCAGCACACTCATTGGTCCACGTGTCACGTTTGTACATAACATAAACTCTCTCTCCTCTTACATATTCCCCTTCACTTGGTCTCCATTATTGTTATTACAAAACTCTCTCTCTCTAAACACACTATTAATCTATTCACTTTTCTTACACCCTAGAAACTCAACAACTGATCAAGAAGAAGAATTAAAACCCTAGAAGAAGATCAAGCCATGGAAGTTGGAGTAATGAAAATGGTGAATAAGGAAAAGTTAAATTTGAAAGAGACTGAACTGAGGCTAGGGTTACCTGGAAATGATGAAGAAATTATGGGCAAAAATCTCACCCTGAATTCTAATGGAAAAAGAGGGTATACAGAAACTGTGGGTTTGAAGCTAAATTTTTCTGGGATGGATCAAACTGATGATCAGAAAGAAAAAAATTTGCACAAGGAAAAGACTCCTGCCAAGTAAACTTACTTTTCTTTTCTTGTTCTCGCATATTTGGTACGGGACAACATCACGAGATCTGAACTTGGGACTTTGTTAATTTTGTTTAACACGGTCAAGTCGAGTATATCATACGTTTTATTAGAGTAATTTCGTTTTTCTTCTTTTTTGTTTACTAGAATTAAAGGCAAGAGAATTAATACACATCAAAATCAACAAACATTCCTTTAGTATTCTGCAAATTAAGGTTTATAGGTACCATGGCTTTGAAAATAAGTGAGTTATACTAACCAAATGGAAATTTAGGGCACAGGTTGTGGGGTGGCCACCGGTTCGGTCCTTCCGGAAAAATATTATGGCTGTTCAAAAGAATGAGTCCGAGGAGACAACCGACAAGGCGGGGATGGGTGGCGCCGCCTATGTGAAGGTTAGCATGGATGGCGCGCCTTATCTTCGGAAAGTAGATTTGAAGAAGTACACCACTTATCAAGAGCTTTTTGATGCCTTGGGCAAGATGTTCAGTTCCTTTACAATTGGTAATCTATAAAATTAATATGGATAAATTCCTTGATGAACCATTTTGCTTAAAAGTTCATAATATATATATTGTAGAAAGATGAAATGTAGATAGTAGTGGAGCCAGTACACGGATTCCTTGTGGCCTAGTTTTTAACTACTAAAATCTTGTTAGAAATTTAAAAAGTTAGATTAAAAGAAAGAAGCCGATGGTCTAGAAAATTTTATATTATACTCGACCCTTATTCGGTTTTGCTAAAAATCAAAATTTTAGTAAATTTTAATAGAAGTTGATGAAATGTGTTGTTAGAAAGTTGACAAAAATTGTGGATATTATGAAATGTGTGGTTAAAAATGAGTTTTAAGAAATGGGATCAAACACGGGCTGAATCTTGTATTATATCGTGTTTTGGGGGAGTTATTTCCGTTGTATATAAGTAGGATGTTTTACGCGTAATATTTATCTCTTTTACGCGAAGTAAATATATAGGTACACATATTTACTCCACAAGATATGCTAAGAGAGTAAGAGAAAAATGGCTTAATCTTTCATGAACATGAAATTTTCTCTCTTCATGGAATTAACAACGTTGTATGTCCGAATTGATCCTTAGGAATGATGGACTTCATGAATGAGAGCAAACTTATTGATCTTTTAAATGATTCTGACTATGTTCCTACTTACGAAGACAAGGATGGTGATTGGATGCTCGTTGGTGATGTTCCATGGAAGTAAGTTTTCACGTCTTTCTACAAGGGTCGATATTTCTGTTGCTCTAATACTTTACAATACTTACTCGATAGTTCATTATGCGTCATGATAACATTCTCCGAGTTATTTGATACAAATCGTGCAGAATGTTTGTTGAATCATGCAAGCGATTGCGAATTATGAAGGGAACGGAGGCAATAGGACTCGGTTAGTATATAGTCGATCCTCAACCTCAAGTTGAATCTTATGAATATATTTTCATATAATATCACTATTTTATTAGCGACCTATTGATTGAAGTCGTGATTTTTGAGTTTCAGCACCTAGAGCCATGGAAAAATGCAAGAACCAAAGCTAAACCGGTAAATTCCATATCATCTTGTGCGTTGATCTGAAAAAGGCAAAGCGAAGACAAACACAATATGAATGGAGCAGATGCTGGATTCTGTCTGTAGTACTATTTTCAATTAATTACTTATATAATTCTACTTAATTAATTTCAAGTATTCATATAGTGTGGACACAGACAACAACTCTTCGAACGTAATACTTGGTTTGTCTACCTTGATTATTATTAATTATTTGTTTAATAATGTCATATTATTCAGATACTTCTTATGTAATAATTAAGTGTGTTTTGAAGCTCATGGGATTGTTTTTAATGTGCATTTTATTTGTTAATATGGCGTAGGGAGAATGGATTTGTACAGATTGGGAGCAATATCATGTGCATATTCGATGTGGCATTTACTCTCTGCTCATTTTTGTTTAGACATATAGGGTGGGAATAAGTTAGGGGAGGGGAGGCCTAGTACAAAATGTGGAATCGACTCCATTAAATCTCCTTGTCTAGTTAACCGGTACTTGATTCAATACAACTAAATTGTTCGCAACCACAACCTCCGGGGAGTGAGGTCGTTCCGCCCCTTGTCCCCTAAGTTGCGTAATATGTTCTCAACCATTCTTGAAGGTGTAGGGGAGAGCGGAGCAAGAGGGAACGCCTAGACGACGTGTTTATTCCTGGGCTGCAGTAAGTAGAGCGAGAGGTCGTTCCGCCCCTTGTCCCCTAAGTTGCGTAATATGTTCTCAACCATTCTTGCTTCAATTTGACCTAGTTGGCAAGCGATATCAGTTCGCGATAGAGAACAACCCTTGTTGCCTAAGTCAATAAATTATACGTCCTCTTATTGAATTATGATTACTTACTTCAATTATGATTATATCTAATGACAGTATCTGTATAAAACTACGTTGAGTCTTTCCTAAAACATAACCCAAAATTAGATCTTCATTATCTAACCAAACTCGGAACATACCATTGGAAAGCGATCCAGTAATTACAGTCAATTCAATTGGAAAACCTAAGAATCAAACCATTTTAAGAGCAGTGATAGCCTAAAAGTTGGATCTTGAAATATAACAACTCGTGACCAAGAGCTTCATAATTAGGCATGTGCATTATATACTCCAAACCCTTATTTCGTCCTCTAAATTTATCTAGAGCTAATATCACGTCTACTTAATAATGTATATGTTCACTTATTATTTTATGCACAACAAAATCATTTTCATAATTTATAGAATGCAAGCAATATTATAGGTAGAGTTTACGTTCATAATACTAAAACTTCACTTGTTAGATAGACTGAAACTTCATTATTTGTAATATCTGTCTTTTATTTACTGATAGAAATAAAATTGTGGAATTAACAGATAATTTGAAGTTTGAACTGTGAAGGCAACATACGCCCTCTGGAAAGGAACAAACAGCTACATGCTCCAAAATTGGAGTAACAACATTGTCGAGGCATGTAATTTATGATGTCGAAATCACAGCACAGTGGCGTTTCCTAGCCCTCAACTGTTCCTCCTCATCGCATGGCTGCAAATGGAAGAGTGAATATCAGAGGCCTACAAGAAACAGACATATCTAACAAGAATTCATATAATCTCTGGCATATAGAACAAAAGCATGAAGTCCATGAGGTGTAAATGTTTAGTTTGTTCTCTAAGATTAACACAGTTAGTAGAAGTACGGGTGATTATATGAACATAGTTTAATGTGCAAAATTTCCAAGGTAATTCAGCAGACACATTGAGTTGGCTAATGTATTCCACACTTTTACAAGAGGTTGAGGTTTCACCTGAGGGCTGAATAAATATGGCACGCGGACTCTTTTGGATCCATCAGGTAGCCGTTTGATGGGAAAATGATTTTCTACAGCCGAAAAGTCGTAGCAGGCCTGCATAAAATATTTGAAGCTCAGATGTGTTAGCCAAATAGATTTTGTGGGAAAATAACACCAGAAGCTAGCAGAGAGCCAATACATTTATACATCACCTCAAAATTTAGTCAAACGCATTAAATCAAGCTGTGGGTAAATCTTTTATTGCTTCAAAATTTTATTAATCGTAGTAAATCAAGTTTTGGATGAAATCTTCTAAGATGTTTGTCATTTAGCACGGATTGAAGAAATGTAACCAACAGATGTCGTATCTCAGTCATCCAGAAATGATGATAACAGTAGCATAATCCTTTATATTGAATCAAGTGAATACCCGAAGTCAATTTATGGTAATGGAAATCCATATATCTTAAATCAAACTTGAGAAGTTACAGGGGAAAGATAAAATTAAATCTGCTTCTGCACAGCAGATTGATATTTATGAAGGTGGAAAAGTTTTACAAATAACAGATACTTGTCTTAAAAATGTAGTCGATCATTGATGACATTTTATTCATGAATCACAACTGAGATAGATTAGGTTGTTTACCTGATTATGAATGGTCTTGACCAACATGTCTTGGCAGCCTGATGCATGCGCACTTTTTAAATTGGGGCACTCGAGTAGCAACCTCTCTGTGGTCAGAGCAAGTAAAAAATTAACCTCAAATTCAAGGAAAATGCTTCAATATTTTCAAAAGGTCACCTCTGGGGAGGGATTTGAGGAACATACCTGGATGTAAATTTCTACAAGAGTTGAGGTTCAAATCAATAAGTTGTGGGCAATTTAGATATAATGCCTGCGTTAAAATTTGTCATATTCTGAAAACAAAATAACATTTGAGCAGGAGAAAAAATAGAATATCCTTAATACAAGAGAAGCTTACATCCAAGCCAGAACAACCCCATAAGCTTAGCTTCTTCAACCGGCTGTGTTTAATAATTAGCTTCTGGTATATAAGGTGCAACTTGCTATTGGGAGTTCTCTGCAAGTCACTATCATTGTCCTCTCCGTCAGAGATCTCTGAATTGGGATCACATATGGTCATTCCACAGTCCATGAGTTCCAGACAAGGCAGTTGAGCAACAGCAAATTGAATGCCACCTACAGATTTGCAAGAAAGATAAAATTATTATTAACGAGATGTTAAAAATGTACTGAATCAAGTAACTGCGATAGCATCAGAGCAGAGTTCGAAGATTACTTGAAGTTATGTTGGGGCAAAGAGCAAGAAGTAGTTTGGACAATGTTTCTGGAAAGACATTGCAAATCATTCCAATGCCACTGTCACTGATATTTGACCTATGTAAAGAAACAGCATCAAGGAAACATTTACTTATCTACTGAAGCAAATAAAATAGCCAATTAGAGAAATATCCATCAAAGTTTCATATTCAAGTAGTTACACCCAAAGCAAATCAGAAATAGCATTTGTTACAAAGCACACAACACTGTGAGCAGGAAATATAGGGGCTCGGTCAAGATAACCATTACTTCGACAAACTCTGATCCGCTAAGATAAAAAATACCAAAACAAGGGCCTGAAACATACCCACTCAGATCAAGCAATTCCAGATTTGAGTAGCTAGAAGCAATAGCTGCAACTGAAAAATTCTGTACCTCTAAGATCTAAAATACCAAAACAAGTGCATGAAACGTACCTACTCAGATCAAGTAATTCCATCTTTGAGGAGCTAGTAGCAATAGCTGCAACTGATGCATCAGTAATCTCAGATCCAAGCACAAGAGAAAGCATTCGCAATCCCCTAAAGATAGAAGCATTGATATCTTATTCGTCAGATTTTTTATCATTGATTCAACTATTTCATGCAGATAAAGTTTGAATTACTCCAAAAAATAATAATAATAAAACTCAAGGACTTGCAGAAAACAATGTGCACAAAAGGTGAAAAACACACTGCCAACCTCAAATTTGAAGCAGTAAGAGCAAGCACTACAGCATGTGAAAGCCGCGTTGAGGCAATGTGGATGTTCTGTAGCTTTGGGCAGCTTATTCCCAAACCATTCACAATAGTGGTTAGATCAGTGCTATCATTTTCTTGCTGAGAGAAATCCAAGGATACCTCCTTCAAGTTGGGGCAGTTAAAAACCTATGCAGAACAATGCATGCCAGTGTAGAGCAGCATGAGATCAGATCATATAATAGAAATGAACATTGAATCTGTAGAGGAATTACCATCTTAGAGAGGGAGTGAAGATCTGAGAGCCAGAGAGTAGACAGACTGGTTGAAGAAAAAATTAAACCCCCAAGGTTACAACACCCTTCCATCTTAAGACTGGTCAGGCATCTTTTCTCAGAGATAAAACGACTTAATTCTTCCCTGCATTAGAACAAAAATTTGTATCTCATCTCCTTCTGGTTGAAATACTACATAGACAGTATAATCTTGAGATAAAATAGGTAATCTATGTAGCCAAGGATTATTTGGCTTTAAAAACTTAGATCAGAGCAAAAACTACAAATACAAAAGACGAGAGCAACACTCAGAAACTTACTAACATTTACAACAACAATGCAAATCATATTACTGCTGAAAAATCATGAGATGCCACTCACAAATATTTATAGACTGGCGAGCACAATGACATATATATCATTTACAGACCCACGATGTGATGTGTGATGTCACTTCCACTCCGTGTGAAGCATCAAAGCATTGTGTGCACCACAAAGTGTACACATAGAATAATCATAAGCCATAAACCTCAAACTCACATTAAGACAACGAGCTTCCCCCCATTGAGATTTGGGAAATGTCTAAAATTATAGGTGTTTACTGAAGAAGATTATAAACTTACAGCATTATCACACCATACAACATGGTTAAATGCAGAGACTGTAGGTAATAGAAACATAATTTCTTAATATTGTTAGAAAATATTAATGAAAAATATAAGAATGTGCGAAATGCACGGAAAACAGAAATATAAGACTGCATTGAAAGTTAAATTATTACCCAGTGATTCTATTGCCAGAGGTAACAGATGTAAAGATCTCCAGAGACAGCAAATTAGGGCAGGAGAAAGCAACGCAAGCCAGCATTGTTGTATCCACATCACTGCAACACCCAAAGCACAATACAGTCAGATTAATTCCCAATTTTCCTGTCAAATATATGGCCAATATCCTCAATAATTATCATCGATGTATTTCAGTACCTAATGTAAGCTCCCAAAAAGATGGGTTTACAGAACCCAAATTTTCAGATAAGTGGCATAGATTTGAGTTTAGTACTAATTCATGGAGTCAAATTTCAATTAGTGCACTTCCTATTCCGCATTTCTCATAAATTCCTTATATGCAAATGCACTTAGCCTCTGCATTGTAAATTTCAATTTTTATCAATTAATCCTATTTTTTTAATAAACATAGATTCTTATTTTCATTATGAATTATCACTGGATCCATTTGATATAACAGTAGATATGTTCATCAGCTCCTTGTCCCTGACCTTTCCATCGTAAGAGATAGTTTCGTGAGTCCGGGGCATTTCTGCAACATCGATCCAAATAGTCTAATCTCCGCCTTCGACGGAACCCTAAGCCGGAGCTCCTCCGCCACTCTCCAAAGCTTCTTCGTGGTTTCTCTCCACCCCTTACACACCATCGCCGCCGACAACAAGCCAACCGGCGGCAGCCTCCTCAACACCTCCCACAAACAACTCGCTGGCAACTTCCCCGCCACATCTGGATCCATATCCAGCTCCTCCTCATAACACTCCAACTCGAGCTCCCCCCGGGAGTCAGCCTCACTGACATCATCAAACGATAGAGCTCTCCGGCTCCCCAGTGGAGGAAGAGGCCGCGCCGCCGTCTCAGACACAGAACTAATACTAATAATCGAATCATCGGCGGCGGTGGGTGTGGAAATTGGAGTGAAGCTGCCACTGATATCTTTAGGTAAATTACAATTATGCCCTTTCTTCGGCAAACCACAACGAGCGCAGTTATAATTTCCCCGCTTTTTACCACGCTTTATTAAAAAAGAAGCGTCGGAGATGGGGGTGGCGGGGTGCGGCTGGTGGCGGTACATATCTGGTTCGTGATTTGTACAGATAATAACCACTCACCAATAGGCTAGCTAATTACACCCTCATTATACTATAATATATATACATATATGTATAGGAGAGCGGGGTAGGTTGGAGGGGAGAGGAATAAAGGGCGGGAGAAGAAAGCAAAATTGGCGCCTAGTGTGTTTAAAATTAATTATGATTGGAGGAGGAGCGTTTAGGAGCGTCTGGTGCATTACACCACCCCACCACCACGTGGTCTTAATCCCATGAATTTTTATGGATTTCATGCATTAATGACTATTTTAAAAAAATAAAACATTCAGACCAATTTAGCCCTTGTATGGGACAAATTAAAATCTTATTTTAATTTCAATAACAGGTTTGATGGGATCCACAAATTAATTTTAACCACGTATTTCATGGGATCCACAACTTTTCAATCACACATTTCATCAACTTTTATCAAAATTTACTAAAAATCTAATTTTAATCTACAATAAGTATTTTAATACAATTCAATTATGCGTCTGTTTCTTTCTCATCATTTCAACATAAAAATGAGAATTGTTACTGTTATGCCCCCGTTTGGGCCACCTTTTTATTTCATTAAATGAAAAATATAACCGTTATTTATCACATCACAATTTAAATTTAAATTTTCTATCTCTTGTGTGGACCTCTATAACGGTTATATTTTTCATTCTCATTCTACAATAAAGTGGTTCAAACATGCCTATATTCAAAGTTATGGGGCCCACCAAGAGAGAAACAAGTCAACAATGGTGGCTGTGGCACTGTGCAACGGTCCTAAGAGCCTGTTTGGTACAAATTCTCATTTTGTACAGTAAATCAATTCTCATTTTCAACCACACCTTCTTCAATAAAATAATATTTTCCATCACATCAATACTTTTTTCTTCTTTTTCAACCACACATTTTCCACCATATCACTATTCAAAAATCAACTCTTTCCCCAAAAATCCCTACCAAACACACACTAATTCTTCTAAAATTGGCAAAAAATGAGAAACAAACGGGCTATGTCCCTTTTGCATTGATCGCTTAGTAGGTTACACTGTGCGTTCACATGTATGCAACCTTGATATTTCATTAGATTAAGAAATCAAGTCCCTTGGATTTGGCTGTGCGGTCAATTTTGATGGCAAATTCTATACATGCTTGGCTCAGCTGTGTCCAAGTCCAACTTGCATCCTGCAGTAAATGAAGTACTTCCCTCTATTACCATCTCAGACCAACTCATAAATTATGCTTCTGCTGGCATTGTTTTCTACTAATGCTACTTTATTATGGGAACTTGTGGGCCAGTCAGTTATTCTCAATTTGATCCGGCTATTTTTTACCCTGATGTTCAGCTACAACTCATCCTAATAGTATCGAAGGCAAAGATCCTGTAGTTAGGTCTACGGCAAAGGGCAGCCATGAGAGTGTGCCGTCGATGATCACATTTTGCCCTTTGTTGACTGCCGTTACAAGGAATACAACATCGCAAGAGGCAAATCGATATCTCATTCCCACATATTTGGCGAAAGGGCAACTCTATGGCAGCTTAAACAAATTGATAGGCTCTGTTGCCAAAACTAAGAATTATTCAAGATATCATTTTTATGGAACCTAAGATGGAGGAAGTTCTTCTATTGCCTAATGTTTTACTCAAATGCTTGAAATGGGTTGATCTTGGTTTTGTTGTTATGACTATCGCCGTGGCTGACTATTAATAATATTATTACTTTGAATTCATTGTTGGGTTGTATTCACTTATGATAGATGACAAATTTATAATGGCGAAAGGAACTCTTATTCGAATAACTTACCTATTTTAAATGACAGCGAATAAATTATTAATTTTTTAAACGTTCCTTATTTTGTCATAAGAAAATTTTTTAAGACGAGTAAAATAAAAATGCTAACATTGCTATTCTTATTCTCTAACACCTTAGTATTAAAATCAGATTTTAATATATTTTGATAAAAGTTGATGAAATGTGTGGTTGAAAAGTTATGGATCCTATAAAATATATGGTAAAACCGTAAAAATTAGTCGTTGATTTTAACTTACATTAAAATTTGAATTTTAATTTCTACCGAACAGTGGCCTATTAAGAAAAAGAAGATTTTTTTATATTTGTTTCATTTTCGAGGAATTATTAAAATGAATTACACTAATTACTCATTAATTCACCAATCCTCCTTATCCGAATTGGCTAGAGACTGTTGGTAAACTATTAGGGTGTGTTTGTCTTCTATTATTGAGAGAAAAATAGAGTAATGAATAGTATTTTTTGGAGAATGTGCGGTTGAAAAGTAAAGTAATTTTATTGGTTCGTGTGTAGAATATTTTATTGGTTGAATCTGTGATGAAGAATCTTACTGTAGCAAATAATTTTTTGGAATAATGATATACAAACAGGGACTTAATTAGAACAGACATGAAATGGATTAAATAATAATTAAATAGAAAATATTGATAAGTAACACTGATCTTGCAAAAAACTGAAGTGCAAGATAATGAAATTAATTAAAGTTTTGGACCCACCATCTCCTTATTCTTTAGGGAAGCCATGGACAGATTCAGATGTTTCTTCAATGTTCACATCTTGTATCACTGCTTGCGAAGAATCAACTGATTCTGTACATTTTATTAACAAGTAGAAGAAATATTTATCCTTATGAAATGGAAGAATGTTAATGATATACAACGAGAAGGTGGTTAGAACTTTCTTAATTTTATTGTTGTGAGTGATTTCAATTTGTGTCTTGAACAACATATACCACGTGAATGTAGGGCTTTGTGACCTTAAAAAGGTGTCATAATAAGAATGTTATAGTGTTAATTAATGAACGTTAAAATTTTAAGGAATAGCCGTTATAATCATTAAAAAAAGTTTTTATGGGGTTTATGTGATATTAAAAAAAGATTAGAAAATGCTATATATTTATGACGAACTATAGGGTCGTAGAATATTATAGTGCTAATTAATGAACTTTAAAATTTTCTTGAACGATCATTATAATCGATAAAAAAACTTTTTTAGGGATCTATATAATAGTCAAAATTTCAGTGTATCATAATATTGCCCCTGTGTTATTGTCCAAACTCCAGGAAATTTCTTATAAATTCCAAATAACAAATAAGACATGTATATTTTTTCTTCTTTTTCTTTTTTTTTCTTTTGGTAAGAAATTAAGATTCATGATATTCTATTATCAGGTCTTGACTAATTAATGGTGAAATGAATTCTATCGTATATTTACTGTAATGTCACAAGCAAAGAGACCACCAAAGGAAAATTGTGCAAACTAAAATGAGGAGATTTTGACTTTGGATTAATAAAATGTTTGATTCGAGGGAGACTGACAAAAGCAAGTCAGTTTCAACTTAGTAGTAAAACATTAAATTATTAAAATTTTAATCCACTAGTTTTTACCCCGTTAGCTCATTAATCAGTCCCAAATTCAATCTCGATGTTAAAAAAACAATAGTAAGCTTGCTCCCCTCATCAAATGCCATTAGCAAAATATTGAAAATACAGTGCCTAAAACATATATGTCACATAGGGTGACTGCGATAATGAGCAACTGCAAATAACATTATTCTATAAAAAATGCAAGTCATGTTGGTAACGCTTGCGATTTGAATGAGTAAAAAAAGAAATAAAAAGGATAATTGAAAGATCGAATGCCACACTACTCGAATTTTAAAAATGAAATAACCATTGAGATGGTTATACAAAATCATTTTCGAGGAAAAATTGGTTGAACAATATGAAAAGTGGAGAAAAATTAGGTCTCATAAAATTCATAGTCGAAAACGATTGTGAAAAAACATAATTTTTAAAAAAAGTTGTGTCCAACAAGATCTAAACTCGTAGATAGGTTTACATGTCTAGATGTTTCCGTCGTGTTAGTCCTTTTTGAAAAGTATCTCAATGCATCTTACTGCTTAATTATAAAATGAATTATGTCCAATAAAATTGCTAAACCATCCTAGCTCAAGAAAAATAAAGGAATTAATAAAGAAAGACTACATTTGTTACGTCTTCATTAATCAATATCTTATGACAGACTGGTGCCTTGCAACTATCAAATTATTTTTCTAGCATTCTTGCAAACCGTAGGGAAATTGAACTGTTGGTCCCCAATATATAATCAAAACAGCAAGTTTGTCCTTAACATTTAAAATAGAGCATTGTAACTCTCAATCTTTTATTATAGGTAGTCTTAGTCAACAATTTATCATCAATGATTCGTTAAAAAAAAAAAAAATTCTTAAGAAGGATTTATTTAGATTCCACACAGAAAATAGACATAAAATACTCATAGGATTTATTGAGCTAGTCCCAAAATAGTTTGAGAATTTTTTTCTTGTATTACAAATATGAGACCCATTATGCTCGTGCTCGATGTAGGTTGGACATTTTGAATGTTGTTTGGCGGTGGAGGTGGGGTGGTGGCTGAGAGAAACCATCCACTAGCATTACTTGTACGACAATATTGCAAACCAATGAGTATGAAAGTGACATGTTTTAAAGGTCGAAAATGAACTTACTCTGGATATTTCGGGATCAATGTCATAATTTTTCCCAAACAATATGCGAAAAGGGTAGTTTGTCTTGGGTGGGGGCAATTCGTGTAAAACATGCACAAATTTATTTTCATTTTATTATATATGCCATTAAGTCTTCGAGAGATGGGCAAATGCATATAAGATATACCAAGTTCTCTCCCATTTGTACCTTCACCATCTTATTTTAATTTTATCAATGGAAATTTCTCTTTCAAACACGGCTCTTACCGGCACAAAACCACGCCACCATGGCTTCATGCCTGAAAACCACTTTCATCTATCAGTTTTCAGCCAAAGATTACAATACAGAGGCCCGGACAGATGGGATCAACTAGTAACAAAAAGGCATGGACCGGCTCGAGCCATGTCGAAAGCTAATGACTCTTTGTCATCTGACATCACTGAAGTCGACAAGGAAAAGGAGGTGAAGAAGAGGAAGATGACTACGGAGAGGGAATTAGCCCGATGCTGGCCTGAAATACACGGGGAGGACGATTGGGCAGGCTTGACTGATCCAATGGATCCATTATTGAGAAATGAGCTAATTAAGTATGGAGAAATGGCTCAAGCTTGCTATGATGCATTTGATTTTGATCCTTATTCAAAGTATTGTGGAAGTTGTCGATTTACTAGGCCCGAATTCTTCGATAGATTGGGCATGGCAAGTATTGGTTATGACATGGTTGGATATCTTTATGCCACATCTAACATCAACTTGCCCAATTTCTTCAAGAAATCAAGATGGCCAAAGGTGTGGAGCAAGAACGCGGATTGGATTGGATACATCGCCTTGTCTAACGATGAGATGTCTAAAAAACTAGGACGACGTGACATAACCATCGCGTGGAGAGGTACGGTGACACGCCTCGAGTGGGTGGCAGACATGATGGACTATCTAAGACCTATTTCATCCGACAAAATTCCGAGCCCTGATCCTACGGTTCGAGTTGAATCAGGGTTTCTCGATCTCTACACCGACAAAGACGAGAACTGTAAGTACTGCATGCATTCAGTCAGAGAGCAAATCATAACTACATTAAACAAGTTAATCGAAATATATCCAGACGATGAGCTGAGCATAACGATCACAGGCCATAGTCTAGGTGGTGCATTGGCAATACTTAGCGGATACGATATCCTCGAAACAGGAACAAATATAAGGAATGATACAAGGGCTGTCCCTATTTGTGTATTCTCATTTGGAGGTCCGAGAGTTGGGAATTTGAGATTCAAAGAACGGTTAGATTTGTTAGGACTAAAAGTACTGAGAGTGGTGAATATTCATGATATAGTACCCAAGTCTCCTGGATTAATTTTTAATGAAAACCTTCATCCTATGTTTTTGAAATTGGCTGAGCAACTTCCTTGGAGCTACTCGCATGTGGGAGTAGAACTTGCATTGGATCACAAGGTTTCTCCATTTTTGAAACATGATGCTGATCTAGCTTCTGCTCATAATTTGGAAGGTCACTTGCATTTACTCGATGGGTTAGTCTTTTTTCTCTTCTTTACTCAAATTTTGTTCTAGTTTTGGCATTTAGGTCATGTTTGATTGCACTTCAATTCCATGAAAGATGGAAATTAAATTCCATTTTCTACATTTTTGCATATTTGATTGCCCAAATTTTCTATGACATTGATTTTCCATCTTTTACTCACATGCTCATATTTTCTTGATTTTTGAAGGAAAGCTTTTCCCACCATTTTCTAGGCAACTTTTTTTACATGAACACTAGTTGCAACATAAGAGCACATTTTGACTCGGTTAACTCACTCACGGACAAAACTACACATGAAAGATCACGTTATCTTTTCAATAATTTATGATGTCTACCTTATCTCCGAGTAGGATTGGACCCAAAAAAATCTGTTAAACAATGGCTCTTCTAAAAATTATTAATACTGTAAATAAATAAGGTTAGTGATCATTGCAAGAAAAAGGATGATTTGTCTACAAAGATTAAAAATTGACACTCAACAATGACTTCTACTTTATAATGGGTTTGCTGCTGTCACGGCATCATGAAATTTCTATCCAGTAAACGTGTTATTTTTGGTTAATAATTCTATATTTCATATAAAAAGTCACATTGAAGGGGTCCACAATGGAATGACAATACAAAATGCACATGTGAGCCTATTCAAGATATAAATTAGGATGAGATCATTTAGGGAATAAAAAAACAGATTTCATCATCTTAAAAAGATTCTGAATTGATTCTTAAGTATTTGATTTGACTCTTAGTTTTGAAATGTAGATACCATGGAAGAGGGGAGAGGTTTGTGCTTGCAAATGGAAGGGATTATGCATTGGTAAACAAGGGTTGTGACTTTTTGAAAGATGAATATGAAATCCCACCAAATTGGAGGCAAGATCCTAACAAAGGAATGGTTATAGATAAAGAAGGACGTTGGGCGCAGGAGGAACGTCGTCTAGACGATGATCTCCCAAGCGATCTACATCATCACCTCAAGTGATTAGGGCATTCGTCCAATAATATTTAGGTATATATCATCTATCTAATGAGTCAACATTCCGACTAATGTTTGGTACATAAAACGGAATGTGATTGGACATAATAATGTAATATGCTTGTTTATTATGTTTAGAACTATTTAAATACTGCCCACCTAACAAAATAGCTGAGTTCATACAAATGACAAATTTCATCCATTCTCTCTCTCTTAATGACACGGCCATAATCACTGTGGTGTTCGACGCATCATGAAACCGGTTTATCATCCAAATCCTAAAGACAAAGAAGTAGAAAACAAACATAATTATCAGACACATGGAAACAAATTGGATGCCAAAGTTTACTTTTCAAGATACAGTAAATACTGGCAATTAAAATAATTTTAAGCCAGAAAACAAAACAAAGAATCTGGTACGGATATAAAGAGGGAAGTGTGAAAGCTTTAGCTGCTTTTTTCCAATCTAAACAAGCATGGGACACTCTCCATGCTGCATACAGAGAAGTAGAAATGGTGTGAGTTCAAACTTTTACAAAGTGAGTGTGATAATCTCAAGATGAAAGAGAATGAATCAAATGAAGACCACCAACTATACGTAAATGAATCAATCTCAAGTCATACAATTTGTCCAGAAAGGCTCGGCCTCTTCCTCCTCCTACCCATAAATGTCTTATCATTTACATCAAGAAGACAAGTTGACTTAACAGATTTAATAAAACAAGAATTGAGAAAATAAAGAGGAAAATATTGCGGAGAAAAAGTTCTTCATATTGAAATACCTGCTTGGCATTTTACCATACACAAAGCTGCATATTTACAGTATTTATAGCATGAATAAAGAATCTAATTCTCTAACTAATTCTATAGAAAATCCCTAACAGAATAGTAGCTAATGTATTCTAGAATCATCCACGATTTGTTGTTGGCACTTTGCTGAGCTGTAGGACATCTTGGCTGAGGTGGAATGCTCTGGTGGCACTTTGCTGAGCTGTGTTGATTCTAACATCCTCCCACAAGATGGAGAGTGGATGTCAATGACTCCCATCTAGAGCAAGAAAGAATAAAACAAAGGAGAATGAAGCGCTTAGGTGAGAATGTCAGACAGTTGGGAGTGTGATGGTGTGAATGCAGCGAAGATCAGACCCTCTTGAATTTTATCCCGAATTAGATGACAGTAGCCAAAGTTATGGCTAAAATACCAAAACGTGTCCCAAAGCGGCCCCAATTAGGAAAAATCGATGATTACTTGCCATTCTTGCGCTGATCTGCCAACTTATGGTATCTCAACCCCATTAACGAACTATCAGACAGCTCGGCTTCATCTGGCTCGAATCCCCCTGCATCAGAGTTCAAACCTTTACAAAGTGAGTGTGATAATCTCAATATGAAAGAGAATGAATCAAATGAAGACTACCAACTATACGTAAATGAATCAATCTCAAGTCATACAATTTGTCCAGAAAGGCTCGGCCTTTTCCTCCTCCTACCCATAAATTTCTTATCATTTACATCAAGAAGACAAGTTGACTTAATAGATTTAATAAAACAAGAATTGAGAAAATAAAGAGGAAAATATTGCAGAGAAAAAGTTCTTCATATTGAAATATCAAATTGGCATTTTACCATACACAAAGCTGCATATTTATAGTATTTATAGCATGAATAAAGAATCTAATTCTCTAACTAATTCTACAGAAAATCCCTAACAGAATAGTAGCTAATGTATTCTAGAATCATCCACGATTTGTTGTTGGCACTTTGCTGAGCTGTAGGACATCTTGGCTTAGGTGGAATGCTCGGTGGCACTTTGCTGAGCTGTGTTGATTCTAACATCCCCCTGCAAGATGGAGAGTGGATGTCAATGACTCCCATCTAGAGCAAGAAAGAATAAAACAAAGGAGAATGAAGCGCTTTGGTGAGAATGTCAGACATTTGGGAGTGTGATGGTGTGAATGCAGTGGAGATCAGACCCTCTTGAATTTTATCCCGAATTAGATGACAATCTAATTCAATGTGTTTGGTCCTCTCATGAAAAACGGGGATAGAGGCAATGTGCAGAGCAGATTTGCTATCACAATGAAGGGTAGCTGGTTGAGGATGTAGAATTGTGAGATCATCAAGCAAGTATTTTAACTAAACAAGCTCACATGATGTAGCAGCCATGGATTTGTATTCGGCTTCAGCAGAGCTTCGAAAAATGGTGGTTTATCTTGCATTTCCATGAGATAAGTGACTTACCAAGGAAGATACAACAGCTAGTAGTTAACCGTCTTGTGTCAAGGCATGAAGCCCAATCCGAGTCACAGTATGAAGTAAGCTGATAAGTAGAAGATGAGGGGAAAAATAATCCTTGGCTAGGGACTTTTTAACATAATGTAGAATGTTGTAAGCTGCCTAGAGGTGTAGAACACAAGGTGTACTCATGTACTGGCTGAGCAGATTAACGGAGAAGGATAGATCAGGGCGTGTGATGGTCAAGTAAAGAAGTTTCCCAATGAGTTTTCTGAATTCAGAGGGATTATGTAGCACCTGACCCTCATCTTTGCTTAACTTGAGATTTGGATCCATAGGAATTAAACGTGGCTTACAACCAAGTAAACCAGTATCATGCAAAATGTCCAGAACATATTTTATTTGGCATAGCTGAATGCCACTTGAGTTCCGGGCTATTTCCAAGCCAAGGAAGTACTTATGAGTTCCAAGGTCTTTTATTTTGAATTTTGAATCCAGAAATACTTTGAGGGCGGAAATTTCATGATCATCATTTGATGCCACAATTATATCATCGACATAAACAAGTAATGCCGTAAAAGATTGCTCAAATGTTTTTGTAAAAAGACTATAATCAGCTCGGGACTAAGTAAAACTAAAATGAAGCAATGAAGTGGAGAATTTAGCATACCATTGTCGAGAGGCCTGTTTAAGGCCATATAAGCTTTTACTTAACTTGCAAACTTTGTTGTGACCATGAACTAAATATCCAGGAGGTGTTTTCATATACACTTCTTCATCCAATTCGCCATGTAGAAAGCGTTATTAACATCAAATTGTTGGAGAAACCAGCCCTTGATGGCAGAAACAGCTAGCAAAGTTCTAACTGTGATAAGTTTGGCAACGGGAGAAAATGTTTCATGGTAATCAAGCCCTTCTTCTTAGGTGTAACCCTTGGCAACTAAACGTGCCTTATGTCTCTCAATTGTCCCATCCGAGTTGTATTTAATTTTGTAGACCCATTTTGAACCAATATCTTTTTTTCCAATAGGCAGATCAATGATATCCCAAGTTCTATTCAATTCCAAAGCAGCAATCTCATTGTCCATGACTTTGCACCAGTCTAAGCTTTTCACAACTTGTGCATAGGTGCTTAGTTTAGTATGAGTAAGAATAGAAATAGCAATTGCAGCATGAGATGGGGATAATTTTGCATGAGATAAAACAGAAGATAATGGGTAAAGAGGAGTAGGAAATGAAGTACCTGTAACCTTGGAGCTAGAAGGAGAAGCAGTAGGCACAATGACTTGGTGACAGTAGTAATTCTTAAGGTAGGATGGAGGTTTCTTTGGTCTAATTGATCTGCAAGGAGGTGTTTGAGATTGGGAAGGAGTGTTCTCAGAAGGGGAAGGGTTGGAAGAATGAGAAATGGTAGAAGGAGAGGTGTTAGGAGTATTTTCAGAAGGGGGGCTAAAGTGGGGGAAGAGAGGGGTAGAGAACTATTTTCTGAAGTGATGTTAGTTTGAAGTAAAGGGGAAATGTCTACTAGAATGAGAGGTGGGAATGAGGCTGGTGAGGGTGATTGTGAAGTAGGGGAGACATTGATATTTTTGTAGGGAAAAATATGTTCATAGAAGATGACATCCCGTGAGTGGAAGAAGATTTAGACTCCAAGTCAAGTAACTTGCAGCCTTTAATGTCAAAGGGATAGCCAAGTAGTAAGCACCTTTTTGCTCGGGAATCAAACTTGTGCCTATTTTGCGTTAATGTAGAAGCATAACATAGGCAGATGTTCTCAAATGAGTATAAGTTGGAGTTAATATCCTAAATAGTCATCGAACTTTGTAAAAAGTTCTCAGGAGATTATCGAACTTTAAAACTTCCCTAATTAGTCACTAAACTTTGCAAAAAGTTTCTAGGAGGTCACTGAATTTCAAAACTACCCTAAATAGTCACTGAACTTTGCTGAAACTTCCTAAGATGTCACCGAACTTTGCAAATTGTGACCACATACGTCAATAATTTAGTGTCCCCCTAGGAATATTTTGCAAAGTTGAGTGACTAATTAAGGTAGTTTTGAAAAATTTCAGTGACTATTTAGGGTAGTTTCAAAGTTCAGTAACCCTCTAGAAACTTTTTGCGAGGTTCAGTGACTAATTAGAGAAGTTTTAAGTTCAGTGACCTCCTGAGAACTTTTAGCAAAGTTTAAAGACTATTTAGGGTATTAACCCGTATAAGTTGGTTTGGCTTGAAAAAGAAGCTCGTAGGGTGTTTGATTTTGTAAATCGGGAGATGATGTTCGGTTAATGAGGTATGTGGCAGTTAAAATACAATCATTCCAAAAAGAGAGGAGAATGTTAGATTGAAATTTTAAGGCACGGGCAACATTTAAAATGTGTTGGTGTTTTCGTTCGACAACTCCATTTTGTTGGGAGGTCTCAATGTAACTCTTTTGGTGTATGATACCCTTTTGTAAATAGAAATTTGTCATTGCAAATTCATTACCATTATCAGATCGAATGACTTTAATTTTTGCTTGGAATTGTGTTTCAATAAGAGAACAAAAGGATTGGATAAATGGTCTGGTTTGGGCTTTATTGTTCTAACCCATGTGGATCTTGAGAAGTCATTAACAATTGTTAAAAAATATTTGGATCCATCATGTGCCATTTGGAAATAAGGTCCCCATATGTCACAATGAATGAGATCAAATGGTTTTAATGCTCGAGTATCACTAATAGGAAAAGATAATCTATGATGTTTAGACAAATAGCAAGTGGAACAAGGAACTT